TACCTGTTCCTCTGGGAATGTTTATAGCAATCGTTTTATTTGTGTGTCACTGGGGCTTGAATTGGATTCGCGTAATGTTAGAATCTCTCAAATATTACAGGAACCTGGGAAAAGAGAACAAAGTCTCAAAGGTAGTAAATATATTACAGGCCAGAAAAGGGGAAGCTGATTACATTGATGTGGTAAACCCTGCTACATAAAAAGAGGCAAAGGAAGCACCAACTGCATCCCTCAGAAGATACCCTAGTTTAACACAATTGGCTATAGGAACATTAGCTCTATCAGTAGGAAGTACAGTGTATGTTTTGTGACAGGACTTTATTCGTGCATTTAAATGGAGAAATATGTATGTGATCAACATAAATGCCAAGACATAAATTCATACAGGATCTAGCAAAAAGACCCGACCTGATCTGTTTAAGACACATGTATGCTTTATCTTTTTTTCATTAAAGATTGTAGATTTAGTTAAATGAATCTATACTATAAAAGATTATCCTACAATCTGCTGTAATAGAATCCTTACCAGAATATATTTATTTTTGGTATAAAAACTTTTACCTAACAAAACCGTCAGATCTTTCCGCCGGATCCTGTATAATTTCATAATTTCAAACATCAAATTAGGCTCTGCTATTTCTTTTAACACCCCTAACAGAGAGAAGTGATGAAATTTTATAGATGCAGTAGGTATTATCTAATGTACTTAAAATCAGATTTTAATGTTGTGAGCGCTCTTGTTGAACAGCCATAATGTGTGCCCATGTATATTATATCTGCAAGATTTTGAAACTGAAAACGCATTCACCCCCTTTACTTGAAAATTCCACGCGAGTAGGCAGGTTTAATGTCGTTCTACGATTTACGCTGGATTGTCATTGCAAAACGTTCGCAAAACCTTCTATTACCAGCTAAGCGTGTCTTTCTTCGTTTGGTACGGCACTGGCCTGCGTACCGGTCGCGCGGCAATCTGGTCTAAACCGACGCGACGCATGGAACTTGCCTGTTTCAGGCGCAGATTTGAATTGTTAACAACTGAAAAACAAAGCCCCAAACATAATTCTCTTTATTCCTGATTTTCGTCTTTTTTGGCTTCTAGAATTGCTTCTTAAATTTCTTCCAAGAGTTACCGAACATACTTTATACAGGGTTTACCACGTAAATATTGCCACGAAATTGCAGGACTCCCTTTGAACTTTACAAAAAATTGGTTTAGATAGAGGTTGAGCTACATTTATGTGTGCGTAACCTTCGTTATCTTTTATTTTTTATACAAACCTATAGCATTCTTTAAATATTCTATAAATGTATTACAAAAAACACAAATAACGTATAAAACCTTAAATGTTCTGAAGCGAACGCCTTGATATGCCCGGACGTTCTACAACTTCTGTTCACTTTTTATATCTTATTTGTGTTACTTTTGTAACATATGTATAGTTGTTAAATTTCTCACGATTTGTTTCAATAAACAATATTAAAGAACTCTATAGTTTCGTTCAAAAAACAAAAAGTAACATTCGTATCTTTGAAAAAAATCTAGACAAAGAAACTTTGCTTTACGAAAGTTATGCACACACGAATATAGTTCAACTGTTGACTAAAACAATTTTCTGTAAAGTTCAAGGAAAGTTATGAAATTTTGTGACACTTGCGTGGGACAACCTCTCTCTATCTCTGTCTCTATCTCTGTCTCTCTCTCTCTCTCTCTCTCTCTCTCTCTCTCTCTCTCTCTGTCTCGCAGGTGTGTGTGTATGTTCGAATAAAAATGATTTCAGAAAACATCGAGAAAATCAAGATCAAAGATATCTCTTCGTATTCCGTTTTATAAAACAGTATTTTCATCGAAACTGAAACATTTTACATATTCACGGTCCAGCCGCTTTCTGTTACGTTAAATATTCTATCACTAGTTTAGACTCAATACTTTCACGTAATTGTTGTTCCTTCGTTAAAGAAAATACAAATTCAAATCTTCTCGACCAATAGATATCAATTTGAAACGTTCCTTTCATTTATTCATCTTTCCAATCTTCCTCTCTTTTCAAAACTTTGATCAACGTAAGTCGCAATTTCGATGTTTTACATAGAACTTGGAACAACGCATGGAGCCGTCGGGTCTCGCTATTACAGTAAATCGAAATGTGAAATTTTTATCCAGAATTGATGTACCAAACGGACGGACTAGAATTATTGCATTTTTTCGAATGGAACGAATCACTTTAATTAGAACGTGCATTATAAGGTGACAATTTTGTGTAAGTGTTAAAATTTGTTCAAGCATATACGCAATTAATATAGTACTATAAAGTGTTAAAAATTATACTTTATCGTTTTATATTTCAGTATGATTGTCATTTTCATAATTATCCTTTATATACGTCCTTTTGCTCATTTTTAGTAGTAATTTCGTGAAATACGTGTATCTTCCGCAGAATACGACGCGCAACCACTTTCTTCTCATTTCAAAAGTAGTCAAGTAATAAACTGACCACGTTACTTTTTAGAACAGACAGCATTTTTGTTTAGAATACAACCGACCGCAAACATACTTTATCGGTACTACGTTAAAATATTGAAGGCGATGTCGTATTTGTTACACGTGCATGAAAAAAGAAAAACAAATAAGGTGGTTTGTATTTATGTAACAATTTTTTCTATCAATGTTCAAAATTCTTTTCTTCGATTTTCACTTTCTTGCTTCTTCACTGTTCCCTTACTTTCGTTTATTCGGTATAAAAAGTTATATCTCTCTTCTTATTTTTCCATTCGCACACATACCAATCAAAAACACAAAAGATACAAAGACTCCGTTTGGTACGTCTACGGATATATGTACGTATGCATATACAATACATCGGATACTTGCAAATATCGCATTTCTGTTTCGTAGTAACGTAACGCTTCCATCCAAGGAGCAAACGTAGCGATTCAGCGTACTTGTAGTGTACTTACTACTTGGGCAGCTTGAACGGAAAGAAACAAAGAAAATGGAAACATGGAAAGGATACAACGAGAAATCTAAATAAATATACGAGATTAATAATCGTGTTGCTTAAATTACTCGAGTATTGAAGTGCATAAATTTGAAGAAACAAAGGAGAAATTGGCGGTTAAAGGACGAAGATCGTTGAATGCATGTACTACTTAATCATCACGTGTGTTCTGTTTAGATCAATGTTTGCTGGATCTGTTAGAAGACGAAGGAAATGCGTAACATACTGCAACGAATTGAACGATTGAATTGCGAAAGAAGCTGGTATTCTCGAATTAGAATAGCCAGGCTTGTTAGCTAATGTCATTTCTACTTCTCGTCGGTGTAATTTCACTGCGAAATGAAGGCTGACGACACAATACGACAGACACCTGGCCTGTCAATAGGAGGATTGTGTCGGCGTGTTACATAGGATCAATATGCTCGAAGTGGCTCGAGTAACCATTTTAACGACCAATTGGAGCAACGGAAACTTATTGTGTACCTGCGTGTTATATACGGCTTCGCTTTCATAACGATACCGCGAGAGTTTATTGTGCGGTGAAGTGGGACGTTTTCACCGTGCCCCCACGACATCACGTCAATCGACTTCAATACCTCGACACACGTTTCTCGTAAACTGAGCAGGCGTTATTCTCCCTTTCTTCGTCTTCTTTTGCATCTTTCTTCTTACGCAGCGTCTTTCTTTTCCTTCACTTTTCGCGCGTTATCGCGCAACTCATTATCAATTGACTTGCTCCTTCCACGAGAACAAGAGAACAATGTCAATCTCGGCGGCAAGTTGAACGTGTTCGATAACTAGCGCTGGACGTGTCCTTTTGCTTCGCTGAGTTTGAATCGTGTAACGAATGCAAAACTGTGCGTTCAGGAGAGTATCGAGGGACTGTGAAACGTGATTGTGCACTTCGCTAAACGTTCTATAGGGATGGAACGATTTTTCTTTCGCTATACATACTTTTTCTTTGAAGTAGAAATTGTTCCGCTTCCGTCGCATATCACAGTTTTATAACGATAATGCGATCAACTGACAGGTGGTTTTGTAATTTTATAACGCATTCGTAACGCATCGATCGTCACTTAACATTACTTACGATTACAATGGATTCGAAGACGTTAAAATTGGACATGACTATTTTATGGTGTTTCGACGAATAGAAAACTTACTGGAAATTCCAAACTTGATCGGCCCGATTTTTCCTTTCGCACGAAACAGTAAGGAACATGATGACAAGGTAGTCTGATAACAATTCCACGTGCAATAGTTAACAGCGTTTAGTTTCGAATAAACTTTGACACAATAACGTTAAATAAAGGAATTAACAATTAGTTCTTTCATAAAAAGAATTGTCTCGCTGGCCTTAGAAATATTCTCTTGTTTACTTTGATATGTCAGAGATATTTAATACTGAAATATTTTAACGGGCTAAACTCAGAATGTAGTAAAATCGAGGAGAGGTCGAATTTTGAAAATATTTCATCCACGTTCCTTGTACGCTAGGAGAGACGACATGCCGGAAGTTCCAATGAAAGTTGCTTTTTCATATATTTCATCCGTATGCCTTATAAAATAGGAGAGGTTTGATGATTTTCAAGAATAGTTAATAATCTTAACTATAGATGAACCTTTGGAATTGTGTATTGTCGCTTAAGCATAATTCGTCGTTTCGTAATTCGCCTATCGTGTGTTGATCCATGGAGCAGCGTGGGTGCGCAGAACTATCGAATTCCGAAATTTTCTCATCGGAGATTGAAAATATACGCGAAAGCGTGCAATCTTGATAATTCTTTTCAGGAATCCAAGAGCAAGGGGAAAATGTGAAATATCTGCATACCGACAATTTTATTCGCACATCTGCAACTCTGAATCCTGCACTTATCACGCGAAATTGTGTCGATTCTCCCGTCGAGAGTCTCTTATCTTTCGTGATTTTTGACGACTTGCCCAGCTCGATCAACGTAATCAATTAGCATCTATGAATATAAGATGCTAAACTGCCGTGGGGGTTCGAAATTGTCAATGCCACTTTGCTTTCTGCGCGAAAATATCCGCTCGGAGGTTTTGAGCAAAGCAGATTCCCAGAATCTGAAAAACAATATAAAAGTTATTTAATTGACAGATAAAACATAAGAAGTGGTCGAGACGATCTTATGATTAATTTGTGCTTCGAGTGTGATTATACATACGGTATATTTAAAGAAAATTTCATTAGAAAGTGGAAGTAAAACATTGAAAACAATCGAGGAAAATATTACGAACGGAACGATCAAATATGAAGAACGATTATATTATTATGTATACTAGTCTTATAGCACAAATTATATAGAAAAAATGCGGTTTTCTTTGTCAGACTCCATGCAACGTCTATCGACAAGCATTTTGATGCGCGTACATGCTGAGATATGCACAAGGTGTATTCTTAATCATGGACATGGCTTTCAGTCATAGGTGAATGTACGTCTTTGCGTTGATACATACACTACCGGCCAAATGCTTGGAATCACTGTGCATTGCAAGTTGCACAAAAGTTCCCCCAAAAGATTAGCATTTATAATAATTTTCCAACGAATTTTTTTATCATTCAAATCAATCGAAATGAGGTAAAGTGCTATTGATCTCGACGATATCAATTTCAAATCAATAAAGAATTAGTAGCAGATTCAATATTAATATAGATTGGCAGGTGATTCCAAACTTTCGGCCGGTAGTGTATTTGTTACAAGAACTTGCCACCAAATTCTTCATAAAAATAGAAATTAACGATAATTCGTGTTTTAATTTGCATACGTTCTACTCCAGGAAAAAAAGTTTGAAAAGAATCACATGTCGCGAATGCACTGTTGTCGTACAATAAATTGTACAAGGCTGCTATTCATCGGGTCAGTATTTTAAAAAATTTTTAATCAGTATTCAAAATAAATGGTCGGTATTTAAAATAAAACATCAATACGTAATATAAGTGGTCAGTATTAGATCGATTAATACGAAAACTGTCAGTATTTTCATTAAAATATTAGTAAACATAATAATTTGTCAGTACGTACCTAATTTAGATAGATGGTCAGTGTGTATAGTGAAATATCCTAACCTAGTGTAACCTAACAAAAATTAAAATTTTATTGACCACAAACATTAATATCGAACCCAAATAAACAAAATTGTACTGACAAAATGCGACTTAATACTGATTAATTATTTATACTGACCAAAATATTCATTTTTACTGACTATTTATTTAAGAAAATAAGTACCGTTAATTTAAAAAAATACTGACCAAATAAATAGAAGTGATTGTACAAATCATAATTAGGAGGAAGTCTCTTTAATGGACGCACGAGTACTAGTGTAAAGGGACAGCATTGTATCAAATGCTTCTTCATTTGTAAACAGGTCTGACTATTAATCCCAATGAAATGATTATTTTTGCTATAGAATCACATTTGAAACTTAATGATCGCTAATAATAATACATTATGACTACATATAAAAAAAAAAACTGCATAAATTTACCTAAAGTAAATGTTGATTTTCGAAGCCTACACTCTCTGTCGTTAATACTGTTCAAAGTACATATTCCGTTTCTCCAAAGTCACATTAACTTTCGCGTAAGTCTTAACGAACGTTGCTATTGGTTTTTCTTGAAATACAAATCGTTCTGAAATTAATTAAAAAACACTGTGGAGGTTGTCTAAAGTCTCTTTTAACACAAAATTTCTTACTTGTGTTATACAAGATTTCTGACATTCAACTGCTTTCATTATTATCCCTTTTCATAAGCTGCACACTCGGAAAATTGATATTTTAACACTCCGATGGCGTAAGCGTATAACGTTCGATTCTTCGGCATTTAAAATCGAACGTTATACAGGGTGTCCCGTAACTCCTCGAACACCCGGAAATGGGGAGTTGCTGGGGTGACGCTGAACAACTTTTTCCTTTTCCAAAATACAGTTTGAAGCTTCGTTTTTGAATTATTAACGAAAAACACTGGCCAATTACAGCGCGCGTAGAGCCCGCGCTCAGGGGCGGAGAACAAAGGCTCATCCGCACGCGATCGAACAAATGCGTACGCGTGACTTCTCGGTTCTCGATAGCTGTCAAAAAAATTTCACTTTGCACCGCTATTTTCATAAGGCTTAGAGAAATGTTCTTTTGTCGTCATTCCGACGTTTGTATAAATTTTTGAAAAAACTGCAATTAGTCGGAATCGCAAAGAAAATAACGAAGGTCGCGTACGCTTGTTCACGATAGCGCGCGGGTGAATCTCTGTTCGCTCGTCCCTGAGCGCGGGCTCTACGCGCGCTCTAATTGGCCAGTGTTTTTCGTTAATAATTCAAAAACGAAGCTTCAAACTACATTTTGGAAAAGGAAAAAGTTGTTCAGAGTCACCCCAGCAATCCCCCATTTCAGGGTGTTCGAGGAGTTACGGGACATCCTGTATATGTTTTTTTATTTCGCATTCTGTTCTCATTACTGACCATTATTATTCATATCATGACATGTAGAAATAAGCAGAAACACAAAACGATGCGAGCTTCGAGTGTTAACCATTGATAGGACAATGGAGAAAACGGATGTACCATTGACTAATTCTTATTTTTAAAATGGAGTAAGACACGTGTTGCAAGGTGCAAACAAAAAAGCTGCTATCTATTCTATTTAGGACTTTATTTTTCTGTGCGTTTATACTAGGACACACGTAGGCATGTAACGTGTTATCGCCAGTCCTCGTGTGTACACTAAACGAGGATAGATTGCATTCCTAGGAAAACTTGGATAATTAATTATGCGAAAAATGGTGCACTTGCGACATATAGTGCTTTTCAAATTTTTTTCTCCCCTTGTAGAATGAAACACATAGAAATTAACTAAAAACCATGTTAATTTTTGTTTTTATATATAAACTTGCGGACAGGTCTTTTAATAAATCTCCACTGACCCAAAGGTGTAGATGTACCCCCAAAAGCCGTGTTCCACCATTAAAACTACACCTGTACATACTTGACTAACATTGAATTGAGTTCACATTTGATTTGTTTCACACTAGCACAAACATATCGTGTGGGAGATTCCTTTTTCCTAGTTGTGACAGCGCAGTGTGTAAGATAGATATCTGCATCTCCCTTGTTCAACGTGGAAACGCGTCTAGAAAGGGAAATTTTCCCTGTCAAGCGTTTATTTTACGGTAGCGTATTCATCTGACAATGAGCATTTGGCTTTGAATGAGCATAATTTGTACGATGCTTCCTTTCTTTTGTAAATGAGAAATTTGTGAAAAAGCAATTTACGTATTACCATGAATGGAATAATTGTACTACGACTATTATTTTTACGTACTAACGATGATATGAATTTTGTTTCAATTAATATCTATAATTTTCTTTTACACCATATTCAAGCGGCTGCCGAGAGGAACTGAATAATTCATAATGTAATAAGGTTCAGTACTATAAAAAGAAAGAAATAAGGGAAGCAAAAATTTTCTCGCTTATTGTTTCGTATGTGACAAAAATAGACATGTTTCCGGCTATCGAGGAAATTCTTTTAATATTTTTGCGGCTTTTTATTAGACAGCGTTATAAAATTTCTAAAGCTTTCCTTCGCTTTCTTTTTAGTCTTCTAATTCTGCTATACCGTAGATTGTTAAATTCGTTCTCAACGGCCACTTTCACATGATTTAGAGAAGGTTAAAGCACAATTCTTTTCTGTAAATTTCTTGTGACTGCGTTATAGTTGTTAACCAAATTGCGTTTAACACGTTCACTGCCACCAGAAAATGGATAGCACGCTGGACAATACAGCTTAGACCGCGTATGCTGCGTCGGTGGCAGGGAACGTGTTAAACCAACGTGAGCACTTATTTTAAGTTCATTTTGACGTGTTGACAGCAGACCGAACGGATCAAACTGTTCGGTAAGAGCTGTTAGAGTACTCAAAACAAGTGAGAAAAATGAAATTTAACTCGACTAAATTTCGAATACTTCGATGTTTCTGAATACTCGACAATTTTTGAATCCTTTGATATCCAATATCGATTGCGAAGTAAATGAACTGTATAACATAAAATCTTTGTCCTATTTTCTACTTGTATAATCTTATTCGTTAAAATATGGTAGCACATTTTCTGTTTTAATCATTCTTAAAATGTACCTATACGATACACTTTCATCAGTATGAAAGTTTGCAACCAACGTTAGAGATTAAAATGTTAAAAAATCTTTTGGTTGGATCAGGCTCACAAGGGAAGTTCAGTAACTCGACATTCGAAAAAATTTGAAACTTTGCGAAATTGTAATTTAATTGACGTTAATAACAAAACCGTTGTTTGTTTCGGCAACGAAACGGTCCTAGGGGTGAAAACAACTAAAAAAAAGAATGGTGAGTTTTCATAATATCGTGTAGGTATATTTATGAAACCGTATAAGATATAGAAAAAAAGTTAAATTTAAAGATGTGTGGTTTTTGATGTCCTACATAATGGTGGTAAAGCATTTTTGTCAAAATTTACCCCCATCACTCTTAATTTTCTTTGGAAGAAATAATGTTTTTCGAAAATTCTTTGCCACTACAATGTAAGACATAAAAAATCACATAACTTTGAATTTAACTTTTTTCCGTAAATATTCACGATAATATGAAAACTCGCAATTTTTTTGAGGGGGTGTTGTCACACCTAGGTAGGACCGTTTCATTGCCGTGTTACGTACCTTTCGTACCTCAGGGCCCCCGGTTTCGGTCAGTCCATTCAAGGAGTTTACCTGGGATAGGGGCGGCGACAGTGACTACCGCAGGATTTAATTCACACAAGTTTATTGACTATCGGTTTCTGTACAGAGGCGTTCCCTGATGCAAGGGTATACAACTGAGAGTCCGCGCTGTAAGCGCGTTGGGTTTTTAAGCTGCTTCCCTCTCCTGTCCTCGCGGTGGTGGAAATGGATTAGAGGAGGAAAGATTGAGACAAGGATAGATAGTTTGGGAATTTTTCAGCGAGCCTACCCAAGTTTAGACAATTGCCCCTTTTTGGGGCATCGAAGGATGTCGAAGACATGAACCAGACGCGTGGCACTCCGACCCACGGGCATCCTCGAGCGTCGGGCTCTCGGTGCCTCGCATAACGCCCGGTTCTTACCTGATTTATTGCACTACCCTTGAGTGGCTGTTCGCTGTAACTGCCGGAAGGAATTTTGACGAATGCAGAGTGTGTGACCGTTGTAGGATTTCTATGGTTTCCCCGAAGACTAGAGAGGTTCGCTAGGCTTGGAGGTTATGCACGTAACACCCGAAACAAAAAATGGTTTCGTAATTAGCCTCACTTAAACTACATTTCCTTAAAGTTTCACATTTTTTTAAATTTCGGGTTACTGGACTTCCGTTGTCAGTTGTTCTCGGGCAGTACTCCAGCTCGTAAAAATTTGAGTTAATTGAAAGAAGAGACTAGGATCTCCGGATCGTCGATTTAGTTGAGACTGAACACTGGTAGATTTCATCATGGTGTTTACTAAAATACTACATTATAAGGACACATACGCAATACTTTTCAAAATATTCAGAATTGAAGTTTTAATATTATTTGAAGTATAATTGAGTTGGTTGAGCGAGCAAGCCATGATATGAAGTAGCGTAGATAGGTACCACACGAAACTTTTTTTCTCTGCCTCTCTTTATCCGTAAAAAATAATTACATTTTCCACGCAAAAATATATGGTAAATGTTAAATAAATATAATTACAAATATATTTTCACGAAAATGTCCTTATTTACTAAATACAAGAATGACATTATTTTTTACACATATACGGAAGAAAAGATAAAAATTTGAAAAAAGAAGAAAGAATTAAGCACAAGGAATCGGACCCGACCTTCCGCATCATTGATCAGCTTAATACCTGTACGTTGCGGCGCTGCTTGCTCGATCATCCAGCATAATTATACAGAAATTGTCAATATTTTGAAAAGTTTTGAGTATTTGCTCCTATAATATAATATTTTCGTAAACACGACGATAAAATTTACCAATGTTCACAATGCCAACTAAATCGAGGACCGTAAGGTCTTGCACCCTCCTTGTTAGTAGGTATTACTTGAGTACTTGGAATTTGTTGAAGCGCTATTTGAATAATCAAATACTTGACTCGGTTTGAATTTTGAGTATTTGTTTATTTCGAATACTCGGACAGCTCTAAACTTTAAGCTCGGCACATGTCTAGGTAAATACTCTGATGAATATGCGGTTTTAGTGCGGAACAAACTGAGTGGATTCAGTGTATACAGGGTGTCCCGTAACGCTGGGACCACCCGGAAATGGAAGTTTGCTGGGGTGACCCTGAACAACTTTTTCCTTTACCAAAATGTAGTTTGAAGCTTCGTTTTCGAGTTATTAACGAAAAACACTGACCAATCACAGCGCCCGTAGAGCCAGCGCTCAGGGACGGCCGAACAGAGATTCACCCGCGCGCTATCGTGAACAAGCGTACGCGACCTTCGCTATTTTCTTCGCGATTCCGACTAATTGCAGTTTTTTCAAAAATTTATACAAACGTCGGAATGACGGAAAAAAGCCATTTCTCTAAGCCATACAAAAATAGCGGTGCAAAGTCACGCGTCGTTCACGATAGCGCGCGGGTGAATCTCTGTTCGCCCGTCCCTGAGCGCGGGCTCTACGCGCGCTCTGATTGGCCAGTGTTTTTCGTTAATAATTCAAAAACGGAGCTTCAAACAACATTTTGGTAAAGGAAAAAGTTGTTCAGAGTCATCCTAGCAACCCCCCATTTCTAGGTGTTCGAGAAGTTACGAGACACCCTATATATGGAATCAAAGTGACTTGTATAAATTACAATAGTTTAAAATACGACATCGCGATACATCGACACCTCTATGTATGTATTATGTCTACAGTCCACCTACAACTTACTTTTAATTTTTTAAGAGTTGTCCAGAATCAAGAACGGATAGAGAATAATTTTTTCTGGTTAAAAATAATTACATATTAAATTAACAATATCACGTTGATAATGACATTTTTACATTGAAACTTAGAAAGAGGAAAATTTGGATGATAAGTCGGATAACAAGAGAACTGTGAAAAATACAAATAGAGTACATAATATATAATCGAGATATTGTCAGTTATAAGTTATGATTGGTAATAAATTATACCTGTGCAAATGCTGTACCAACCGCACCAGTGGCAATTGCAAGAAGATTTCGTTCCACCCACTCCTCCCCAGCTTGAATACAACCTTTTTCATAAATCACTTTGGCAACTTCAAAGTTCTGTAAAATAAAGGCGATTGGCTACTTTCGCTTACCATTACATTCTTGAACCTCACGAACCTAGTCCAGTATAATTTAATAGAGATAACGTTGGTACACGATGAAAAATAAAGAAATAGATGCAGGAGAAAAACGAGGTATGCATATATCCACTTATAGACATAGAGAGTAAATTAGGACAAATGATACAATCAAGATAGAGATGATTTTATATGTACAAATATAAGTTGGAAAAGTTACGATAGAATTTTCTTCATTTTTTCCTTTCTAAGATAAATGTTTAATTCACGATTCACCGAATTCTGCTACACTCAACTAATCCTGCTTGTTTTTATACGTATAAATAACTGGCAACGTCATGCTTTACCTATTGTAGAATGCTTCTTTCCTTCGGAAAGCAACATTTTGTGGGTGACAAAGTGCGTATTTTTCTCAACAATTTCAAGACACTCTCAACAATTCGTTAAGTAATAAACTGAATAAATCAATACCAAAAATATAGGGACCATCAGTTAGTATTTTGCGTACTAGTATTACTATAATCACGTATAGTGAAACTTATTCAAACTTTGCATATAAAAAATGTTATAAGTTAGCAATCAATTTTAGTTGTTGAATTTTTTCTAGCAGTTTCAGGGTGTAACTTTCGACCACATCCAGTTATACATGTACGAACGCAAGTTGCTGTTAAAAAGAAACCACAAAAACTTAAACTTTCTGTCGATATTTCTGTACAGTTTAGACTTTTTAATGCATTTTTCACTTTTTCTTTTTGTTTTCTCCAGTTTAAAAAAAAATTGAGACAAAATGCAATTCTGGAAAAAAGTAGCGCCAAATTTTAATAACAAAATTCTGTAAAAGAAGATTATTTTATGCTCCTTTACGGTTGCAAGTTATGACGTTAAAAGCAAGCACGAGTATAAAAATGCAGTACAATGTTTCATTCACGGGGGATTCATTTTAATTGGAATATTTTATACGCCAGTCTATAATATTTTGTTTATAAAGTATTTTCTAGCTAAGAAAAGCGTCGCTATGCTTGCACACCCTTCTAGTCACAAAATTTGCTCTCGCTGCAATTCTTTGTTCTTCCTAAAAATCAAGCCTGCGTATAGTTGGTGGAAGCGATATAGTGCGGTCGTAAATTAAAGCATTAAACGGTGCCACTGATTGATGTAGCCGTACCAAAGGCCGCTCTTCTTGCGTCAATTGTTATTTAAATATCTACTTACAATCATTCATTTAACCCTTGTACGCAGTTTGTGAAGTTATATGAATAAATGAATTTGGATCAAATTGACCGAATATCATATATTTACAGGAAATACAAAAAAATAAAAATTCAATGAATGATTCAGTAATGATTTATTAATCCTGCTACGGTCCTGCATTCAACTATACACTTAAGGTCTTTAGGTCGAAAATGACCCGAATATGCGAAATTCATATTTTTAACCAATAAACAACACCAAGGAAATACAAAAATATGTTGTATCTTTTACAATATCTTTTATTGCAGAAAAACAATATATCGTGTTCAAATTATTTATTTTTAACAAGTTTTACACATTTGGTAACCATGCCTTTTACATATAAATTTTGAACATTTCTGACATCTCAATGGGCTTTTATTATCAGTTTTATCACAGAAATGGCATCTTTCCCCTTATCGTAAGGCCCAAACCATTTGCATCTGATGATATCGACGCAACAGGTTCTGTCAAATTGGTAATATTTTCCAGCATCTCTTTCATTGGTTTCGTTGTGAAAGACATTATTGACCAAGTAGAAAGAAATGAATGGAAAAAGTACCTACTGCACACTGTCCCATCCTATATCGCTTCCACCGGCAAAAGCCCATTTTTCGCCAGTAGAAAAGGTAAAATCACGAACCCGTCAACGGTTTTACAGAAAATGATTCATAGCTTTGCTTTAAATAATGATAAGATGTATGCAGCAGTATATTAAAAACAAGAAGGGAATTATTTTGAAAGAGAAAAGCAATTGGAGTGATTTTGCAAGGTAAAGAACAATCTCACTTTTTCTGTGTCTAACCTCGTACAATGTATTATACAATAGAATACACTGAATTATCTATCTATAATAAGCTTCTGTACTAACCCTATCGAACGTTTCTAGCCCAAAATAAGAAGAAATAGAAGTAATTGTGAGATAGTCTGAGAAGAGAAATGTTATACAAATACAGAATTTTACCGATAAATTAGAAAAAAATTAGTGCACAGTATGGTTACTACTGTTGCAGGTAGTTCGACAAAATGTTCTTACAGGATAATACAATAATAATTTATATCAAGAAGAGGCGGAAATAACTATAATGCTCGAAATGAATGTTGACCATGAGTGACGTCGAATCGCAATAAGCAATAATAATCACCGATTTCTTTTTCAAACTCTTTACGTTTATCGGTGGTCTTACGAAATAAAACTTTGTAGAATTTCAACTCTCGATTTCGAATGATTTTCGAAATATTTAATGGCAAAATTTTGTCAAATTTTAAAAATCAAACGAAGCATGACCGTTTTACTTGGAATATTTGGGCTGTATTTAAAGCTAATGTTTTGTGTTTTTAATTACTTTAAGGGGAGAAGTCCCTAGAAATCGACTGAAAAATCGAAAAAATTTTTTTTCCATAAATCGCTTCTAAAACAATTCAAAAATATATTGTCATAAGTATAGACCAAAATTCAACTCTGTATCGATACTGTAGCCTGTTGAATCAACGTGCTTCCGATCGCGGAGCACGCTAACTGTATGCGTTCACAATCAATTTCAAATTTTACACACTTTAGATTATAAGATTCCTCAGAACATGAACTTAAAAGTTTAACCAAATTATTAATTTTAACCACTTTTTTTAACAAATAGGGCGCAAATTTTTTGCGAAAATCACATCAAAGTGCCGCCATTTTTTAAATATGCAATTTTTTGGCACCATTTTAGGTTCGTATTCTTACAATTGTCAAATACGTTGAAAAAAAAATTTGTTGGTCTCTTTCGGATAACTACCAGCCAAAGTGCCGCCATTTTTTAAATATGCAATTTTTTGGCACCATTTTAGGTTCGTATTCTTACAATTGTCACATACGTTGAAAAAAAAATTTATTGGTCTCTTTCGGATAACTACCAGGGATGCTACAACTGACGCCGTTTTGCACCTCGAAAAAGAACCTATTTACAATACTGCTCTATTTCCTTTGTATTCTTCATAATTTTACTGTCGTAAAAATTTTTTTTGCTGGTTATAATATTAAATAAAGTACCCTTAAAGTTCCGACAGTATTAGCGCATTGGTTTCTTTGCAAAATATTCCTAAAGGTTGATAGAAAACTAAGCCGTTTATAGGGACTTTTCCCCTTAAAGCAGAAAGAATGATATTTCCAAACGTACAAGTGTAACAAAGATGGCGATTAATTTTAGCGAAAATTAATTCTGTATATATGTCGAGTATGCGTATAATTGTTTTTATAACATTTTACTAATGATTATTTTTATTCGTATTGATTATCGGCATTAATAGTGATACTGAAAATAATTTTCAACTAATTTAAAGAAATAAAAAATTTGAATATGGAAATGCGTTTGCGTTACGTTAATTCGTCAAGCAAAGTTCTTCTTCAATATTCATTTCGTCCAGGATTCTCAATATCATTTGTATCATTGAAAAATACGGATCTGTAATTATAGGATGTGTGCGCTCTGCGCTAAGCAATTTGGAATTGTCACTTTGCGCTTATGTCCAAAAGTATGAAAAATTACCTTTACAAATGTAACTAAATTGTACTTGCATAAGTCAAATGTGTTTGCTAAAAGTACAATGAAGTAGATAAGACAAAAGGTATCGATAATCTTCAAAATTGTGGTTCAAAACGAACTACTACAATACAGAAAAAATAATTCGGCTTTCTACAAAAAATCATATACCGTCAAAAAATTCGAATTAATCGTAATGATAATAAAACGTCCATTAAAGGAACAGAACGTTAGAAGAGCAAAATTTCTGCTTACAAAAAGGCACCTCGAAATTCAGTTGGCATAGACTAGTAGAAATGTTAATCGTAATTGGTGTAATATAACGTTTATTGACGATAATTCATTTTATGCTTGACTTCATATGGTCAATGCTAAAGCAAAAGCTATTAAGGAATACACATTTCTAGCGTGAACATATCGGTACATTACATTCCTTCAATATCAGACACTGAAAAATTAGTTGAAAGCATGTCGAGATGTTGCCAAGTAATGATTAACAATGAAAGAAAGTAAACCCATTATAAAGTAAATACTAAATTACTTTTTACATATATTTTCGATCCCTATATATTATTTCTTACGAATGGCAATTTTTTGTAAAGGTATCGCAGGTACATTATTTTGTGATAGACTGGAAGCAGTAGTATTATTATACATATACCAGTGCACAGAATATAGATATTTTAGCGTTATTCCTAATGTCATGTGTTTCATATGATGAACTAAGAAAAATCAACGTGTTTTAATTAACGAAACGGAATGTCGATTGGTGAAGTACTATCGCTAAAATTTGTTCAAAGAAGTTCAAGACGGTTCACAAGGGAACATCCCAAATTGATAATCACCAATATTGTTGAAACTCTGATATATGGTAATACTAAAAAAAAAATTTAACACGTATTTTTTTTTATCGGCAATCGTCCACATTGAAAGGGTTAACATCACTGTTAGGAGAAGGACCCTGAGGGCGCTGCGCCTGCGTCGCAGCGCCTTCGGGAGATAGTACCAAGGGGGAGGAGCATCCTCCTCCCCAGGGCCGGAAACCCAGGCCCGGATACACGGGACTGTGAGAGGTCAGGCGGGGGCCTGGCCCCTCCTACTACGGTTCCCCAGGGAAAGGGGCGGCGCCGGGCGTGGTCCCGTGGCGTTGCCGTGCCTACGGGCGGAGTTCGGACTGGAGACAACGCTACGCCTCCACCACCTCGGGGCCAGGGCGTTAGGAAGAAGT